ATGACTTGTATATACAACTATTTGCCGTTTATCTTTTTCCATTTCAGAGCAAGTGTAGCTGAGAACAGCTGCACAGCAGGTATGGTAAATTTGTTTTAGTAGGGGGGGGGAGCAGTGAGGAGAAGAAGCATTTATTCTTGACCTCATGGACACCAGAATCCAAAATTGCTCAGAGTTGCCATTAATGTTCTTTCCACTGTGAAACCTGAAAGGAGCAGAGTAGCTGCTTATTTGGGGGCTGACATAAAAGCAACAGAGGAAGCCAAAATTACTTTTCTGAATTTCCTCTCGCTGCAGTTATAATTGGGCACCCTGAGGTATTCAGTTCTCAGTCACAATGATCGCCACTCACATCTGCCATTTTATTTCACCTAGCTGACAATCCAAGCCAGATTTTTTTGAATTGGTTTGTTATATTGCAGTCAATAAAAAATTGTCATTGAAGCCTGCCAGACCCTAAGTGCATGAGAAATCATTTCCAAAAAGAGAAGACGAAAAGGTGTTGCCTTTACCCTCCTGGAAGGGATGATGTTAGACGGAAAATTATTTGATTCCTCACTTTCAGTAATGCCATCATCCTTCATTTGGCATATTTGGTAGTAAAGTTTCCAAAATTAAATTTTTGCTGGCAAAACATACATTAATAGAGAGAGATTTCTTGTTTTGGCAATAAAATTTAAGTCAAAGGATTATAGCACAGAATAGTCAATCAGCAGCTCATCCTTTCAATCTGTTAGTGCAGTGGTTCACAACTTTTTTTAACCAGGGCCCACCTTGACCAGGGCCCACTTTGACCAGGGCTACTTTGACCAGGGCCCACTTTGACCAGGGACCACTTGGCCAGGGCCCACTTTGACCATGGCCCACTTTACCACAGCCCACTTTGACCAGGGCAGCCCACTTTGACCATGGCCCACTTTACCATGGCCCACTTTGACCATGGCCCACTTGACCAGGACCCACTTTGACTAGGACCAACTTTGACCAGGACCAACTTTGTCTGGGGACCCCTTGGACCAGGGACCACTCTCCAACATTAGTACCAAAAGGGGTGGGGCTGGTTAGATCTGTGGAAAGGAGGGGAAATGAAATTAATAAAATAAGGAGGAAGGAGGTTTGCTGACTGGATTTTTGTTCTCACTGCCCACTGCTGGGCCGCAGCCCACAGGTTGAAAGGGGAAGGGGGAGAAGAAGATGCTGAACAAAACATCCCATTGTGCCAAAAAAAACCAAACAAACCCTGGGTTTTCTCTGAAAGTTAATTATCTTGATTTAAATATCTCCACAATGCCTTCCAGAGATCAAAGTACAAAAGGAAATGATGTTTAAGAAGTCACTGCCCACTCAACAGGCAAATTCAACTGGGGCGGAGGAGGGGACTGTCAACAACAAAAGAGCCAACTTGAGTCATTTCTTAGAGCCACCGCAAACTAGCCTCCTGCAGGAGCAAACTGTGCCAGCATGTCCATGATGTCATGAGACTCCGCCTCTCTCTCCGCCCCTTTCTCCGCCTCTTTCTCCGTGCCAGAGTGGTTTTTCCTTTGCTAGGGCAGCATTGAATTCTGTCAACAACGAGAGTATGCTGGCAATGCTGCCCTAGCAAAGGAAAAACCACGCTGGCACAGAGAAAGAGGCGGAGAAAGGGGCGGAGAGAGAGGCGGAGTCTCATTACGTCATGGACGTGCTGGCACAGTTTGCTCCCGCAGGAGGCTAGTTTGCGGCGGCTCTAAGATTGCAAGCACGTGGTCCCATCAAAAGTGTATTTTATTTTTGACCACACAGATAAAGCAATTTCATGATACATTGAAGCTTTCTTTACTTGAAGTGCTACAAAGTGTTCCAAAAACATTAAAAGAAGTTTAAAAATCAGGAATTTTGCAGTGTAGGTAACACTGAGGTTTAATATATTTTCTGGGGAAAACATTGAAGCAGAGCGTTTGACACTATATGGAGTTTGGAACACTAGTGCTGTCATGGTAAATTATATCTTCCAACAGTTCTGTAAATTTAAAGCTCATAGTAATGGCAGGTACATGTTTGCATGTTTGTGATCTGTAACATGCTTTTAAAAATGGGCATGGCATATTTTTTGCCTCTAGAAATTCACTTCCAATTATCTTTATAATGCATTGTTCCAGAAGGGAGACTGATCAAAATCCTTTTGATTATGGCCAAGTATTGACTCTGTTGAATGGATTTACTTTTTTGCTGATTTATTCAACACGTCACCAAAAATGTAAATCATAGAAGGAGATATGTTCGGACAGGTAAGCTGGGCCGAAACTGTGTAGGGCTTTATAGGCTAAAGCCAGCACTTTGAATAGTGCTTGAAACAGGCTGGCAGCCAGTGGAGCTGTCATAACAAGGGAGTTGTGTGCTCCCTGCACGCCACTCCAATGAGGAACCTAGCTGCCACCAATTGGACTATTTGAAGCTTCTGAACAGTCTTCAAAGGCAACACCACATAAAGCGCATTGCAGTTGTCTATTCAAGATGTAACAAGAGTGTGGACCAACGTGGCCAAGTCCAGCTTTTCAAGATATGGGTGCAACTGCCGCACAAACTTTAATTGTGCAAAAGCTCCCCTGGCTACTGCTGAATCTTGGGTTCCAGGCTCAGCTATGAGTCCAAGATCATTCCCAAGCTCAATTGAGCCTGATATGGAGGTGGGACAGAGAGAAGGGCTTCTCTTGAAGATCTTAGGATCCGGATGGGCTTGTACAAGTAACCTGGACCTGAACCATCTAGGGATTTAAAGGTCATAGCCAGCACTTTGAACTGTGCACGGAAACAGTCGAGCAGGCAACGAAGTTGCTTCAACAGGGGGGTTGTCCGCTCCCTGTAGCCAGCCCCAGTGAGCAACCTGGCTGCAGCTCTTTGGACCAGCTGAAGTTTCCGAGCACTCTTCCATCTGAACATGAGGAAGAACTTCCTGTGAGAGCCGTTCAGCAGTGGAACTCTCTGCCGCGGAGCGTGGTGGAGGCTCCTTCTTTGGAAGCTTTTAAACAGAGGCTGGTGGCCATCTGTCAGGGTGATTTGAATGCAATATTCCTGCTTCTTGGCAGGGGGTTGGACTAGATGGCCCATGAGGTCTCTTCCAACTCTTTGATTCTATGATTCAGAGGCACTCCCACGTAGAGTGCGTTACAGTAATCCAGACGGGATGTAACTAAGGCATGTACAACCATGGGCAGATCTGGCTTTTGAAGGAACGGGCGCAGAATTAGTTCTTCCTTGCTACTTCCTGTCTTATTTAAAACTTAATTCTGTAAATAACCATCATGCACAGAACAGTACTTGTGGGAAGGCTGCCTGATTTTCCTGCTGATTTAACATCAAATGCATTTAATTTCCTTCCATCAGGACCACACAAGAAGGAAGGCAGGCAGGTTTCTTACTACTTGAAGTCTTTTTAGGAACACGTCCTTATTAGAATCACTCTCTAATCTCAGATGAACCAGAAATCTATGTAAAGAACATGCTTTTGAACATTAGGCCATGTAAACAAAGCTTCACACAGGGACAAAAGTGTTTAATTATATTTGCTGTAACAAAAGTCTTCAATGTTTATGGTTTTTAACCAGCAGCACGTGTTTTCTTCTCAGGGTCTACTTGTTCTATGGCAATGAATTTCAGTTGGAACTGAAAAGGATTTTAAAGGGTCGAATTATGATTGGAGCGGGGGTTGACATGGCATAGTGGTTTGGGTGCTGGACACAAGATTCTGGGATTTGCCACTGCCTTCCTCTTAAAGGTAAAAGCTTTCCCGTGACATTAGGTCTAGTCATGTCTGACTCTGGGAGGTGGTGCTCATCTCCATTTCTAAGCCGAAGAGCCCGTGTTGTCCATAGACACCCCCAAGGTCATGTGGCCAGTATGACTACATGGAGCATTGTTACCTGCTAGGTTGTCCAAAGCTGTGACTAACAGTGGGAGCTCACCCCACTCCCCGATTTGAACTGCCAATCTTTCAGTCAGAAAGTTCAGCAGCTCAGCAGTTTAACCCACTGCACTACCAGGGGGGGCTTCCTCTTAGGCTGAGAGAAACTTGCAAGTTTTCATACCTGAATGGGGATTCGAGCTTCCTAGAGTCCCAGTCCAGCACTCAAATTACTACAAAATTACTATTTCCCAATCCAAGTTCACACAGTGGCCAAGCAGAGACTGACGGGAAACCCATAGCAGGGCATGAAAGTAACATCACATTCTTCCTAGTATTGAGGCATGCCAGAATCCTGGTTTTGAAAACCTTTTCAGCATTGTGGATACTGTGGTCTCCACAGGCAAACAGTCATAATCCCATGAATATTTTTTTAATTCAAACTATTTTGAAAAGTTTTTACAAACCATGATTATTATTCCAGCTTGCCAGCTGATCATAACCATTTAGACAGTACAATACCATAGGTTTATTGATATACAAACTGGTCACAATACTGTGTTGTTGTGAGTTTTCTGGGCTGTATGGCCATGTTCCAGAAGCATTCTCTCCTGACGTTTTGCCCACATCTATGGCAGGCATCCTCAGATGTTGAGGGGTTTGTAGGAAACGAGGCAAGTGAGGTTTATATATTTGTGGAATGTCCAGGATGGAAGAAAGAATCCTTGTCTGCTTGAGGCAAGTGTGAATGTTGCAATTGACCACTTTGGTTAGCATTTAATTCTTCTGGAGCATGGCCATAAAGCCCAGAAAACTCATAGCAACCCAGTGATTCCTGCCATGAAAGCCTTTGACAGTCACAATACTGTTGTTAGTCCAGTAGATCCATTGAATAAATGGGATTTTCCTACTTGTTGACAATCCATTCAACAATTGATTAAACAGCTCTAGTTGGAACTAAAAAGATGATGCCTTTCTTCCTGCACCGGCACACTCCAAAACACAACAATCAATCAGTCCTCTATCAACAATCTCTTCAAACGCTCAGATTTATTTGAATTCAAAGTGTAGAAAATTTATTTGGGGTAACAATTTAAAATTTCACACAAACACACACAACTGAAATTCTTAAAATCAGTTTTATTTACATGATAGAAAATCTGTAATGTGCACAAAAACTTGCATCTTTAGAGTTCAGCCACTGGCGACTTTCTTTGCACAAGTAGGCATATGTGTGAGAGGGAATATAAGTGTGGCTGAAAGGCAAAGAGCCAAAGGAAGAAGTACTTGGAAGATTTCACAGCTTAACTTCAGACAAGTTTGATTGTTATCACCGGCCAAGAAAATGCCACTGATCAGCTAGAAGAAAATAGAACAAATGTTATTCACTGTATATTTCTATTTAGATATAAATCCCATAGAATGCAACAAGCCTTATGTCTTCGATTTATTCAAATTCACTTTACTTTTGCAGAATATGTGCAAGCAATCTTACCTTCTTTGGAAACAAAGGACTCTTCTACAAGAGGTGGTGCCTACAGAAAGAACAGTCATATATTAATTTCATGCTATCAATGCACACAGTCCAATATAAACTATCAAAAGGGAGCTCTCTCACCCAAGAAGCTTACAATCTAAAGTTTAATAAGAGAAGGAGATAAGAGAAAAACAGCAAAAAGGATGGAGGGAGTTACTCATGTATTCCCAGCATGAACAAGGAACATGTCTGGCAAAGTGCAAATAAGTTGATGGAAGGTAGAGTCCAACACCAGGGCTGGACATGAATGCAATCCAGCATGGGAATTTCATTATACCAAAGGTACAACCTAGGAACAATATGCACAGCAGATAAGAAAAGAAGGATTCTTCCCAAGTGGAAAGGAGACATGCAATTGCTGAAGATGGTAAAGCTTACAAAACAAAGAATATAATCAAATCACAGAATTACTTCTATCTATCTTGTGTTTTTCCAGATGGGATTGAGTTACTTTTTTATCGTGTCAGAAGTGAATTGAGAACATACTACAAGTCGTATTGTTGAAGGTTTTCATGGCTGGAATCACTGGGTTGTTGTGTGTTTTCTGGGATGTATGGCCATGTTTCAGAAGCATTCTCTCTTGACATTTTGCCTGCATCTATGGAGCTGTACAGCCCAGAAAACACACAACAACCCATGCTGCAAGTCACTTCTGGTGTGAGAGAATCAGCCGTCTACAGAGATGTTGCCCAGGGAATACCTGGATGTATGACCATCCTGTGGGAGGCTTCACTTCTGGTGTGAGAGAATCGGCCGTCTACAGAGATGTTGCCCAGGGAACACCTGAATGTGTGACCATCTTGTGGGAGACTTCGCTTCTGGTGTGAGAATCAGCCTTCTACAGAGATGTTGCCCAGGGAACACCTGAATGTGTGACCATCTTGTGGGAGACTTCGCTTCTGGTGTGAGAATCGGCCTTCTACAGAGATGTTGCCCAGGGAACACCTGGATGTGTGACCATCCTGTCGGAGGCTTCTCTTCTGGTGTGTGTGACCATCCTGTTGGAGGCTTCTCTTCTGGTGTGAGAGAACTGGTCGTCTACAGATATGTTGCCCAGGGAACACCTGAATGTGTGACCATCCTGTGGGAGGCTTCTCTTCTGGTGTGAGAATCAGCCTTCTACAGAGATGTTGCCGAGGGAACACCTGGTTGTGTGACCATCCTGTTGGAGGCTTCTCTTCTGGTGTGAGAGAACTGGTCGTCTACAGATATGTTGCCCAAGGAACACCTGGATGTGTGACCATCCTGTGGGAGGCTTCTCTTCTGGTGTGAGAATTGGCCTTCTACAGAGATGTTGCCGAGGGAACACCTGGATGTGTGACCATCCTGTCGGAGGCTTCTCTTCTGGTGTGAGAGAATCTGCCATCTACAGGGATGTTACCCAGAGGATGTCCGGATGTGTTACCATCCTGTGGGAGGCTTCGCTTCTAGTGTGAGAGAATTTGCCGTCTACAGAGATGTTGCCCAAGGAACACCTGGATGTGTGACCATCCTGTGGGAGGCTTCGCTTCTGGTGTGAGAGAATCGTCCGTCTACAGAGATGTTGCCTAGGGAACACCTGGATGTGTGACCATCCTGTGGGAGGCTTCACTTCTGGTGTGAGAGAATCGGCCTTCTACAGAGATGGGACACCTGCATCTGTGGCTGGCATCTTCAGAGGTTCTGAAGGCCATGAAAGCCTTCAACAAAGTCACTTCTTTTTTAAAAAAGGATCCTTCCCATATCTTGAAGGAAAATTAATCAAATTTGGAAAGAGTCATTGAAAATACATCATTCACTCTCTTATACTAAATGTGAATGGACATTATTCCCTGAGAGCTTGGCTTTCAGCCTAGAGTGGATGTTGTGTTTATGCTATACAACGACCATGACTCAATCATATCAAGCAAGCATTTTACCCCACTAACAGTTTTTTTAAATCAGTTTTTTAAACAGCTGGGAATACTTTGGGGGAGAGAAACCACTACGCAACTGGTGCAATAAATGCAGCTGGCAAAGCAGCTTATAAACTGATCGGAATATAAAGTTTGGTGCCTCATAAAGAGCAACATCTACTGTATATTTTCATTTCCTTTGTCTATGTATTTTGGCATTCAGAAATGAATGAATGAATGAATAAATGTAACATTTCTCTGGGGCCAAAAAAGAGAGCATATTTTCACTCCCCTCCCTCTTTTGTCTCTCTTTCTCATGACTGTGTGTGCACACAATGTTCCCCTTTCCTGCAAGACGCATTTAATTAGACCAGGCGGCGAATAAAAGTATGCTCTTAGCAATTAGATTATGCGACTGGTAGTCAATGAGGTTTGCGTGGTAACTCATGGCAACAGAGTAGAGAGGAAAAAACAAAACAGAGCACAAAGACAGTAGGCAGGCTAGAGACAAACTGTCCATCTTGCTATTATTCAGCACCAGATGGTGAAGGAAGGGGGTGAATCCTCCATGACCAAACATTTGGTGAAATAACCAAATATGAGGAAATGCAGTTAACTATGTGGCATCAAAAAGACTGTCACATAGGCTCCATTACTTCCCCTTGCTTACACACACTCATGAGAAAATCAGGTCCTTTTTGGTTTTCACTAGGGAAAGCTTTGGAGTTTCAGTCAAAACCTCACACAAAGCTATCTAATGGGATAGAGATGTATTGTATGTGCTTATGTATAAGTCTAGACATTTTAGTCAAACATCAACCCCAAAACCTGGGTCAACTTATCCACCTCTCGTCAGTATAATTATTGTATTGTAACTCTTATAAAAAGGATTTTCTGTTGGTCATTTGGGATTCTGTGTGGGAAGTTTGGCCCAATTCTATCTTTGGTGGGGTTCAGAATGTTCTTTGATTGTAGGTGAACTATAAATCCTAGCAACTACAGCTCCCAAATGTCAAAGTCTATTTTCCCAAAACTCCACCAGTGTTCATATTTGGGTATATTGAGTATTCATGCCAAATTGGGTCCAGATCCATCATTGTTTGAGTACACAGTGCTCTCTGGGTGTAGGTGAACTACAACTCCAAAACTTAAGGTCAATGCCCACCAAACTCTTCCAGTATTTTCTGTTCATCATGGGAGTTTTGTGCACCAAGTTTTGTTCAGTTCCATCGTTGGTTGAGTTCAGAATGCTCTTTGATTGCAGGTGAACTATAAATCCCAGCAACTACAACTCCCAAATGACAAAATCAATCCCACCCCCTCCAACCTCACTAGTGTTCAAACTTGGCCATATCAGGTATTTGTGCAAAATTTGGTCCAGTGAATGAAAATACATCCATTACTATTCATAACAGTAGCAAAATTACAGTTATGAAGTAGCAATGATAATAATTTTATGGATGGGGATCATCACAACATGAGGCGTCACAGTATTAGGAAGGTTGAGAAACACTGCTTTACAGGTTGAAAGTCAGCTGGTTACTTTAGGAACATAAAATGGATTCTAAATAACTTTGCTTGTTTGTTTTTTTTTAAAGATCATGTCTGACATATTTAAGGTGCAGCTTATTAAAAAAATCATTATAACTTTACAAATGAAGATGGAAGAACCTGAAGTATAAGGAATACCTGAACCATAAGAAACCTCTTAGCTTTTCCAGTTTTTGGGGAACAGGCAAAAGACTCAAAACCTTAGACTAGAAGGCAAACAAAACACTTGTTCCTCTGTACAAAACCCCAAAAAAGAAATAACAAAAGAAAACTAAGACCATGAAATATAGCGATGTGAGATATTGTGCATACTAAAGGCCTACCTACAACATATGTGTCTGGCAGCAAGGCGGGGGTTAATAAATGAATGTTTTACCTTGCATGTTTTGTTCATAATGTTAAAAGAAAGTAAGTAATAATCAACTTTTTCAATGTTTCCAGGGGTAGAAAAGCAGTTGAGATTTTTTCTGGTTTTCTTCCAAGCCTCCCCATCTCTCCTAAAGCAATGGTTCTCAACCTGTGGGTCCCCAGATATTCTGGCCTTCAACTCTCAGAAATCCTAACAGCTGGTAAATTGGCTGGGATTTCTGGGAGTTGTAGGCCAAAACACCTGGGGACCCACAGGTTGAGAACCACTGCAAGGCTGAAGATTCTGCACACATTTTGCACATACACCCTGAACATCCCTGTGCCCCCAACACGTATTTAAAAACTGTTATTGCCACACATAAAAAGGCTCTCATGCTTCCCACCACTACATGTTTTGAAAAATGACCCCCATCCTCCCAGAACTAACGGAGAAAAAGGCTCAGGGAGCAAACAAATTAGGGAAAGAAAAACCTGACCAAATTCTTCCCCAAAGTCCCCTTTCTTCCTATCTTATAAAAAGCAAATGGGATAAGAGCTGGGGAAACTGTAACCTTCTGAGGTCTAACAGGGGGATGTGTGACCCCTGAAAGGTTGCCTGCATTTTGCATTTATACAAACAGATGGGCATTTTGTGTTGCTCCAGATGTTGGACAGCGACTCCTATTTATCCTGCATCACTGGCTATGCTGGCTAGGGTCAATGGGGGTTGCAGCCCAACAATATCTGGAGAGGTATAAATCGCCCAACTCTTATCGTGTTGACATGGTGGTAGTAAGAAACAAGAATTTCCTCTTACCGACTGCACAATTGCTTCGATATCCTCTTCGTTACAGCAATAAGGGCTGGTGCCCACCGAGAGATTGGTGCTAAAACAAAACAAAATTATCAACAACAGAAGGGAAAACACATTAGTATAAATTCTATGAAGGAGCAAGTGACTGAGAAAGGAAGCCATCCGTAATCTGGTGCACTCCTAGTGTGTTGGACATCAACTTGGAAATGATGGGAGCTCAACAGGTCTATAGGGCACCTGAATGGTGGAAATCCAGATCTACACTGATGTCCTTTTCATCCCTCCCTGGAGATACTGAGGGACAAAAATGGCAACCTTCTGAAGATACAGCACTGCTAATGCTATCACTATTATCATCATTATTTTCATAATAATAATAATCATCAAGAGAGCTCCCTTTCACAACTCTAATGCAAGTTGATACAGAAAGGACTTCAATGCCTACTAGGCTAACAAGGATGTTCAGGGGTGAGATACATTTGCACACCCTACATTAGCCCTGCACATGAGCAAATGAATGCCTGTCTAGGACTATACATAACAAGGTTTGTTATGGTTCATTGTAAAGTCTGATTGAATATACCGTTTGTTGGCAGTAAATCAGATGGCCTGTTCACAGGTGCCAGCTAACTGAAGCATGGTTTCACACTACATGAATGAGTCTGGAGGAACACTGTAGGGCCAGAAAGGCATTGGAACTTGGAAAAGTCCCTCCTTTGAACCAAAACTCCTAGAATGACTGTATGGCTCTTCATACTGGGCCATTTTGGGATTAGTCCCCACTTGCGATAGGTAAACAGGGATTTATTTTAAGCTGCACACATTCTGTACACATTCTAACATATATGGCTTCTGCTCTTCCTTCTCTTCATCTTCTCTTCCTTCATCAATGGATACATCCTAATCAAAGTCCTCTCTACGTAAGGAAAGGGAAGTTTTGTTTTTGCAGTGCTTTTGCTTTCGATATAGATTCACACCATTATTCTATGAAAGTCTGCAATTGTGTTCCATGGGACTTAATCTTTAGGTATATGTGTATAGTGGGGTAGGCAACATATGTTCCTCCAGATGTTGATGGACTCTAATTCCCATTTGCTCTTGCCAGAAAGGTCACTGATGAGGGATGATGGGAGTTGCAATCTAACAACATTTGGATGTCTAGAAAATCCCCAACTCGAGGTACACAGAATTGCAGACCAGCAGTGCAAGCCTAGGCATTGTTACCCAGAAATAAAGACCTGCAGTTCAACAGAGCTCACAAAACCCCTCAGTGATCATGTCCCATCAGGATTCTGGGAGGAGTAATCCAAAAGAATAATTTTTCTCAGTTTTGATTATTTACTTTTATACTTAGCCATAAACACCACTCAGTGCACTGTGGCTTACATAACATTCTCTATTTTATTCTGACCCACTCTCTAAAACATATTGAGCCAGCTACATAGAATAAAACCAAAGCATTGTCCCCAAAATTCAAGGTTATTTTTGTAAACACAGTACAACTAGATGATGAGAAACCAATTTACTTTTTGAGCTGCTACTAAAGCTTAATTACTAAGTAATCCCCAGGGATCATGCTGTCGTGTGTGTGTGTGTGTGTGTGTGTAGATAGGTATCTACACACAGAGAGAGAAAGTTACCAACAAACTAGGCATGAGGCATAAGAACAAAACTGCTACCATCACAATTGAATCCACCCAAGATCCTTTATCATTGATTCGCTGTATGTTTAAATAAAACACTGTATGCCTACCATTTTATGGCTCCTCCATCAGCCTTTTTGTGAACCAAAGCTTTCCAGCATTCATGTGTGGATTTAATAATTTCTAATGCAAATGCCTATTGGAAAAGCAAAATTGAGATGTGATTTTCCCCCAACTCTAAAAAGCACAACTGTCACATGCCATCATTTGAAAAAACCCAGGAACACTAAAGTTAAAACTACACCTTCCGATACAACTACAAAACCACTCCAAACGTTGTTTTTGTTTAAAGAAATCTCCCAAAACTTGTTATTAAAGAAGTATATTGAATAATCTTCCAAAATGCTACTGGATTGACATGTACAGACAAAGTTATTTATTTATTTACCACATTTATATCCTGCACTTCTCAACCCTGAAGGGGACTCAGGGCAACCCTAAAGGCAAAAATTCAATGCTATATATTAATACATCAATAAATAAACAAAAATGTTAAAACCACCCCGTTTTTTCTTTCGTGTCTGGAGTGACTTGAGAAACTGCAAGGTGCTTCTGGTGTGAGAGAATTGGCTTTCTGCAAGGACGTTGCCCAGGGGATGCCTGGATGTTTTGATGTTTTACCATCCTTGTGGGAGACTTCTCTCATGTCCCTGCATGGGGAGCTGAGCTGACAGAGCAAACTCATCCGCTCTCTCTCCAGATTCGAACCTCTGACCTGTTGGTCTTCAGTCCTGCTGGAATAGGGGTTTAACCCATTGTGCCACCGGGGACTTCTACCAAACCCATTAAAACAGAGCATTAAAATATCAGTTAAAATTACATTCTTCAAATCGTATTCCAGGGCCAGTCTGAGCCATCATTGTGTTTGATTTGTAATCTCATATTGCACTACTCCCATTACTGACCAAAAACGTGATCCCAGAGCCAGGTTTTCAGTTTTTTCCTGAAGATCAGAAAAAATGGGGCAAATCTAATTTCACTGAGGAGGGGGTTCCATAGATGAGGGTCCACCACTGAAAAGGCTCTGTCTCTCATTCCCACCAATCGTGTTTGCAAGGGATGTGGGACCGAGATCAGGGCCTTAACTGCCGATGTGGATCATGGAGATACATTCTGACAAAGTAAGGGGGGCATCAAAACAAAACTCAAGAATGACTATGTTTCATAATAAATAGAATAGGGCTGACCTATTATCATGTAGGGCATTGGAGAGAAGGAAAAAACAGTATCCTGCTAACTCTTATGAGAAGCATTTCCAAGCCTGTTCAAACAGAGATCTAAGGAATTTAGTTCAGGCTTTGGCTCTGCTGTAGGCAAGCTATTCAGCACATGCTTCAGTTTAAAATGCCAGCTGTTTTGCCTACGACTCTCTCCAAATCTCACTAACAGAATTGGAAAGTGTCTGAGTTAGGTCAAGAGAAGAGCTGGCAATGAAGCTGAAGCCAGGAGCATTTTTCCAAGGAATCAGTGGGTAGATAGGTTGGCAGCAGTTTTTTCTGTTTTCCTAGATGGTTGGATTTTAGGAAAAAACAGCAAATGCAAGCTTTTATTAGATGCTACAAGAAAATGCGAATCACAGCACTGTAAAAATTAAGCTTTCCTCTTCTTCCAAAGAGAAGCCAGCACACATTAGGTTTTCATGTTAGATGTTTCCTACGGATCAATGGTAAGCAACTTATTGCCTTCTAAGATGCTATTGGACTACCATTCTCATCATCTCTAGATACCAAAAATAAATGGGAATTGTGGTCCACCAACATCTGGGAAAGCATTAGGTTGATTACTCCTGCCATTGACCTATGTGGTGTATGTCATCAGCAGAAATTCTACACACACTCAAAGTAGTTACAATAGAAAGGTTTCCTACTTCTCCAAAGCACTTCTGAATGGTTGATTTAAGCAGTATGCTTACTAAATGGTATTAGCCCCAAACTAGCAATGACTACGTGATCGCTGGACCAGTATAATGAATGTGTAAATTTGCTTTTCTCTCAAAGAATGAAGCAAACATCTGGATAGTCCTTGAAAAGGTACATCAGGGAGTTGCTATCAAAGGACAACAGTGATGTAGAATCTAAGCACATGAAGAGGGATTGATGCATTTGTCTTTTTTAAAAAAGCTCTCCTAGTAATATTGATTTGGGCTCCTTCCACACAGCTGAATAAAATCCCACATTATCTGCTTTGAACTGGGATGTATGACAGTGTGGACTCAGAAAACCCAATTCAAAGCAGATATTGTGGGATTTATTTTGCCTTGATATTCTGTGTTATATGGCTGTGTGGAAGGGCCCTTGGTCACTCTTTAGTTACAAATGTGCTATACTAATAAGATAGCCCTAGCCATGGTCATTACTTCTAGTGCCCTCTACACAGGATGAACAACTTTCCAAAGTGGACAGCCATCCTCAATCATGAAGACTTTCAATCCACTTGGAAACAGCATTATAAAATTCTCCCCGAATACATAGATTTGGTGACTTTGATAAAGTATAATGCTTCTAACTCCACAGCAAAAGAAGCTAGAATTTGGAATGCTACACATACGTTGTTATGTTTTCTACTCTTAAAGAATCTCCCACTTACTGCCTTCTTGAATAAATTACATAATTTTTAAAGTATTTTTTTCAAAGTACATTATTTAAAAAGAACCATTAGAACAATTAATCACATTTAATAATTCTTCACCTTGTCTTTGAACGTGCCATCGAAAGCAAACTGGTTCTCTGGCTTTCCATCTGGGACTTTATATAATCTGAACCAGTTGAGTGTAGCTTCAAGGTAACCTGGTTTGAATTTTCTGACATCAACAATATCTGTGATGAGTTAGAAAAAAAAATGTATGCAGAAATAAATGTTATGAACCATTTGTCCATATCCTGAGACTATATTTATTTATGCAGGAATCCATAATCTGCAAAGGTTTTGTTCATCCCCGCATTCATAGTTTATATAGCCAATTCATAGCTCAGTGCCAATGTTCCCATGATAAGATCCTCAACTCTTACATAGCCTTGCCTTTGGGAGATAAAAATGCAGCCTATCACCAGGGCCATAGTCAAAAACTTAATGGCTTGGTGGAATTCACCAAAGCTTGTTCTCCATTTCCAGACCAACTAAGATATTAGGGGTACATCAACACCATAGATTTAATGTGGATTAAGAATGGACCCATTGCCAAGACACTACACCACCATCCTCAGGCTACAAGGGATTGCCTAAGTAAGTAAGTAAGTAAGTAAGTAAAGTAATTAAGATTCAATGCTGCTTGACATCACTTTAACTGCTATGGTTCCATACTATGGAATAATCAGAGCTGTAGTTTGGTGAGACGCCGGCACTAATTGGCTGAAAACCAAAGTCATTGTAAAATTACAGTTCCCATGATTCCATGGCATTGAACCATGCCGGTGAAAGTAATGGCAAATGACATTAATGTTTAATAGTAATAATAATAATAATAATAATAATAATAATAATAATTTTGTACCCCACTACCATCTCCCCAAGGGACTCGGTGCAGCTTACATGAGGCCAAGCCCACAATACATCAATAAACAAAACATCAGATAAAACAGTCAATACAATACAGTTCAAATAAATCACATAAACAAAAATAAGCAATCAACAATGGCATACAACATATTAAAAACCAATGGCCAGGCCAAATGTAATAGATTAAAATTAAAATAATGCTGACGTGACGTGAACATTTTCAGAGAGAATTGAGGGAACACAGTCAATGATAAAGTGTATTTTGAGGGCATATTGCTGAGAGTTTTCCTTATTCTGGGCAGGCACACTGGAACAACCACATTTTCAGGCTCCTCCTAAAGACTGCCAGATTTGGGGCATGTCTGATGTCCCTGGGAAGTGAGTTCCAGAGTCGGGGGGCCACCACCGAGAAGGCCCTCTCCCTCGTCCCCACCAATCGCACCTGCGAAGGAGGTGGGAGCAAGAGCAGGGCCTCTCCAGATGATCGAAGAGATCGTGTGGGTTTGTACACAGAAAGGGTGTAGATGAACCCTAGAACAGCCACTTTTTATTTTAGAATAAAATAGAAAAGACAAACTTTTTGGATTCGCTCATACTACAACAAAACAGCTGCTGGTAACATTGTAATTAGTAAGGCAAGCATAACCAGTCAACTATACTTACTTCCCAGCCAATATAACAGTCCCCCCAAAAGAAAGAAAGAAAGAAAGAAAAGAAGATGAACTCACAAGGCTTGACATAAGTAAGATTTTATTTATCCAACAAACTTCAAACAGTGGAAGTTGGTGACTCTACTGTCAGTAAAGCAGAGAATCACCAGTACCGCCTTGACATTTGAACCATTTGAATATTGGACCAGGACTTTGGAGACCAGGATCCAAATTCTCCATTAAGACATGGAAACCAACTGGGTGATCTTGGCTACTATCTCAAGGCAAAGGCAAACCCCCTCTGAATGAATCTTGCCAAGGAAACCTCACCATAAGTTCATTTTAGGGTCACCGTAAATCAGAAACGACAACAAGCGAGAAGGTGGTAAACCCTGACATTGGAACCACTGGCCTCTACTGATTTTAAAATATGTTTTTCTGAAACAACACAAAATCTCTATCACTGTATTATCTGAGGTGCTCTGTAACTAAATGGACAGCACTAGCAACAGGTCTGGAAGTCACTGCTTGAACATTATTGTTAAAGCCAAACAAGAGAAACAAGCAGCCAGTTGGACCGCAGGAAGCTGTTGACTTGGCATGGAAACTCACTAGAACAAAATATGAGCAAGTGCATGCCAAACATTTGTGGCAACGACTGCTCAGCAGTTGCCAAAAAAGCGTGAGGGATGCTTTACCACACTACTGCAAAAAAAAAGTGATGTTTAATCTCTTATCGTGTTTGTGGCAGCAAGTCTAACACACTGAGCATTTGTGCAGAAGTGAGCGATGTTTCCCCATGATCCTTGGGACTTGTACACGTGCCACAAACGTGAAAGTAGTCGCCTTTCAGTCTACAACAAAGCACATGCAGACAGCAGAAAGCGTTGATCCTGGCATTTCCAGTTCAAAAAATTTCCTAGATACAATGGGTAGGAAGGCCTCAAAAGTTGAGAGGAAGTAGCAGTGATTCACCCAAGATGCCCTCAAGGGAGTGGGGCACAAAGGAGGATCTTGCGAAGATGGCAAGCCCCCGTGGGCAACACACGGCCCATTGCCATGTATCATATTCTGCAGTTGATGGTGGTTGGTGGTAGTAGGAATAGCAGTTGGTGATTGAAGGGTTAATGTAAGTCTTAGTTCTAAAGGGTTGAGTAATCTGTAAGTAAGAGTTCATGGGTGAAATCAATTAAAAGTGGAGGTATGCAAGAGATAGGTTGCATCTGGGTGTTTCTGCATATAAGGAGCAAGCCTTGGGATTGATCTTCAGGGGGAAAGTATTTGTCTTATTTTGGTGGTAGATGCTGCTGGCTTTTCCCCAGGTTTATGGATTTTTGGTATCCTGACCTGTCTCCTGTACTCTTGGAACCCTGGAACCTTGAATCTCTGGACTGGCTTTTGACTACGGAATAGACTCTTGATCCCTGGACTTTGCTCATTGAACTCTTGGCGTTTAACCACTGGACTGGACCTTTTGACTACAGTGTTATCTTGAACCTGCAACAGTGTTTGCTGTAAGTTTTGTTTTATATTCTGTGGCTGAGTGCTATCTTTATGTTTTATGTTTTGGACTATTAAAACAGCCAGAAAGTAAGTGCTGTTTTAATTAATCTGTTTGATACAAACTGGGTGATTGTTTGATTCACCTCTGCCTAAATAATGGCAGTGCCCTGGAATCATGACACCCATGGACTAGAACTTCCTCTCATCTGGAATAGACAACACTCGGCTGCATGGGCTAGTGGCTTGAGCTGGTATACGGCAGCTTCATATGTTTCTAATCCAACATATGAAGCAGCCCCTGGAAGGCAAATCCTGATGACACAGAGACTTCTACCAATACAAAAAGAAAATTCACATCAGCACATATTTTCCTACAACAGCTGCATGCTATCTTTCTTCCTTTTCCTCAGTTGATTTATGACAAAATCTGTGGGAGGAGGACACATGTTTTTAATGACAACTTGTAAACATTCACAGGAAACACCGGCCTCAAGTCCATATAAAGACATTTGCTGTCCTTTTGCAGCAGTGACAGGAAAGAGACCTCACACACGAAAAGTATCTTGCTTCATTTTTAATGCATTACAAAGCATTCACAAGTTTCCCCTGTTATCCTCCACATAAAATCCATTCCAATTACCTAGAGATTGGAAGTAATGTATTATGTGAGCAATTTTGGATATTATTTGTCTCTGAAAAAAATGACAAATGTGAATTGGGATAGCAGCTTTTATGGAGGGTGGGGGGTCACTGGGAGCTTGGGACATACTTTTCAAACCATGGTGCAATAACACATTACTTTTCAAATAGACTACTGCAAAATTTTTCAGTAGTTTTCAAGGTTTACATTAATCTGTAGAAAGAAAACAAAACGGTAAAGCAGAAGAGGTCATTAGCTAAAATTTCTCAAGTTGGTTATATACTTGGGATAAGTCATCATATGCATCATATGTTTGTTCCAATCTTCCTCCAGAGCGTAGAATGAGGAATTAAGGGTTTTTTTCTATTTTTGTTGGGTTTTTTTGTTCTGTCGCTTCCGACTCATTGACCAACCCATACCAGAGCTCCCTGTTGGTTATTGCCATGCCCAGCTCTTTCAAGGTCAAACCAGTCACTTCAAGGATACCATCCATCCATCTTGCCCTTGGTCTGCCCCTCTTCTTTTTTCCTTCCATTTCCCCAGGATCATTATCTTCTCCAAGATTTCCTATTTTATCATTATGTGGCCAAAGTACTTCATCTTTGTCTCTAATATCCTTCCCTGCATTGAGCAGTTATTTCCAGGAGTATGGACTGGTTAGATCTTCTTGCAATCCAAGGCACTCTCAGTATTTTCCTCCAGCACCATAGTTCAAAAGCATCTATCTTCCTTTGCTAAGCCTTCCTTATGGTACTGCTTTCACATCCATAGGTTACTATGGGGAATACAATTGCTTTAAGTATGCAGATCTTTGATGCCAGTGTGATGTGTGTACTCTTAACTATTTTGTCAAGATTGGTCATTACTTTCCTCCCAAGAAATAAATGTCTTCTAATTTCCTGGCTGCAATCTGCATCTGCCATAATATCCGTGCCTAGAAATACAAAGTCTGACATTGCCTCCATGTTTTCTCCCTCTATTTGCCAGTCATCAATCAGTCTGGTTTCAATAATCTTGATTTTTTAAAATGTTTAACTGCAACCCAGCTTTTGCACTTTCTTCTTTCAGCTTGGCTAGAAGGCTCTTCAACTCCTCCTCACTCTCAGCCATCCAAGTGGTATTGTAACACACTCTTCAGTATCATCTGCATATCTTAGGTTTTTAATGTTTCTTCCAGCAATTTTAACTCCAGCCTGGGATTCATCAAGCCCCACATGTTGCATCATGTGTTCTGCATACAAGTTGAATAGGTCGGGTGAGAGTATACAGCCCTGTCATACTCCTTTTTGTTCTATTTTATCCCACAACATATCATAGCGGCACATTGAAGCAAAGAAATAGTGGTTAGTTCTAGGTCCAACACTGTACCTTGAGGTTTAGAACTATAACCTAGGTTTTCACAGTCTAGACCGAATACAGTACAGTGCCTATATTCATGGGGAATATGTTCCCAGAACACAGAACCATAGATGACTGTGAACCCAATTGAAATGAGGGAAATCTGTCCCAAGAATACCATGGAATAAAGCTGGAGGACCTAGAAAATGCTCAGAGAGGACATATTTTATGGGATGTAGATAAATGAAGCCATAGATGCCTGTCTCCCAGATATGGGGAGGGTTCTACAGCTACGCAACTTATAGCATTGCTCTAATTTCAAATGACTTCTTCAAGGTATCAGATCAAATTTCTGTCAAAGCCTACTGAATCAGAAAGAGAGAAAAGAGAATTCTGGCCCCAGTCATCACTATCTGTGGTCCCACCCACTATCAGCATTTACCTTACAGATTACAGGCAGTCCCTGAGTTACAAACATCCGACTTACAAATGACTCATAGTTAAGATGAGAAAGCTGAGAGGAGAAATGATGATCATGTATAAATATGTGAGGGGAAGTCAAAGGGATGAGCGAGCAAGCTTGTTTTCTGCTGCCCTGGAGACTATAATGCGGAACCATGGCTTCAAACTACAGGAAAGGAGATTCCACCTGAACATTAAGAAGAACTTCCTGACTGTGAGAGCTGTTCAGCAGTGGAACTCTCTGCCCCGGAGTGTAGTGGAGGCTCCTTCTTTGGAGGCTTTTAAGCAGAGGCTGGATGGCCATCTATCTGGGGTGCTTTGAATGTGATTCTCCTGCTTCTTAGCAGAATGGGGTTGGACGGGATGGCCCACAAGGTCTCTTCTAATTCTATGATTCTATGATTTTAAGAACGGAGAAGGGACAACAGGAAGTGAGATAAATCACCCCTCAGAAAGGAAATTCACTCCTGATTCATGGGGAAAAGGTGTCTCTCCTGAAGCTTTCTCACCAATCCTTGTTTCCACAACAAGTCAAATTTTCCAAAATCCAAAATTATCACAGGGACAGAAAGATGAAATTTTCTGAACAGGGGCACAAGGACAAATCTACAGAAGACTGCCTGTACTCAGGCCTCGACATAAAAAATTGAAATCTTCCTTTATGAGGAATAAAAATCTATTTTGGTCGTACAGCTGCATCAAAGATGCAAGAAGAACAGTACATAAAATATAGTGTTCTACTCAATTTTGCTACCACAGAATGAACACAGGGGTTTGCTTTTAGCCTAGATTTCTTCTGGACATACAAAACATTTGTCAAACTCAACAGTTCCATCGAGGGACACCTTGTTTGGTTCAATCCATCCTTCATGGGAAGACTACCTGAATGAAAAACCAGTGTGGGTATTTATTTATTTCAAGTATTTGTAAATTCTTTTCTGTCCACCATGGCTCCCAAGGTGATTTACAAGGAAAGCAGACATTAAAAAAGAACAGGACCAAAACATTCCTTAAAAACAGACAAAAACAAAACATTTAAAAGCCAAACAAAACATTTACAATATGGATGGCTGTCAGAAGCTTGAAAGAGATTAGAACCAGTGCAAAGGAATTAGTGCAAATTCTTGGGGTACCAATGGAATGACAAGTATTTGTATGCATAGATACAGAGAGAGAAAGAAATCGAGAGAGAAATTGAGAGAGAGAGAGCCATCTTCAGTTCCTTATCCAAATATTGTAAGTAGTTTAGACACAAACAAGTTAAGGATGCTCAAAGACTTCTCTAGAAGATGCTTGGTGCCCCCTTGGGCACAATCCCAAGTTCCTGTCAATCATGGGAGGCAGTCTCAACTGCGGGCTACAGCTTTCTCAGCACTTGAAGCAGAAGAGTGTACTAGGCAAGGATCCAATTTAAACAAGTATTTATTCAAAGACAAATTAAGTCATGAATAAAAAACTAAGAAAAAATTAAGCAAGCATTGGAAAGGTATTTATTGCTTTCACTGAAAAATGCTTGCCAGTCCACCACACCTGTGCAAATAAGCAAGGAAGTCCAAGAGGGAACATCTCAAGATCCTAGCATGAGTTGTTCATCTTTTTTAAAGGAACTATGCTAATTTCACAGATTAAATATGTGGTTTTCCAAACACAGATTTATTTTTGCCTCTGCCTACCAAAGTATCTTCTAATTCTACATATAGCTGAACATCTCATGTGCTATATAAATTCCAAAAAAGGACAAATACATTGTGTGTATGTGTTTACACATTTATTTATTTTTATTTACTACCTTTTTATACCACTTTTCTCCTCCTAAGCAAACTCAAAACGGCTTCCGACATTATAAAGGCAAAATTCAATGCCATACATACATGTGAAAACCAAAAGATAATAGCAAAGCAATAACATAAGCTAACCTAACCAAATTAAAAAATGAACATAAAATAACATTTAGACATAAAGCACAAACATTAAACATCGATAATACAATAACATTTATATTAAAATTCACCAATAAACAACAAGATTTGAAAAGCTATTAAAATCACGCCGTCCAAAATCAAGTCCGTAGCCTTGCAACATGAAAACATATATGCATGTTTTCATGTTGCTGGGCAAGTTATAGCTAAGCTATAAATTTCAAAGGGGCTATGAATGTTCAGAAGTGGTTTGCCATTGCTTTCCTCTGAACTATAGTCTGCAACACCTGGTAGTACTAGATGGCCCTGCATCCAAGTACTGTGAAAAAGATCTTGGAGTCCTCGTGGACAACAAGTTAAACATGAGCCAACAATATGATTAGGCGGCTAAAAAGCCAATCGGATTTTGGCCTGCATGAACAGGAGTATAGTGTCTAGATCTAAGTAAGTCATTCTGCCTTGATCAGATCACACCTGGAATAACACTGTGTCCAATTCTGGGCACCGCAATGGAAGGAAGATGTTGACAAGCTGGAATGTGTCAAGAGGAGAGCGACTAAAATAACCAAGGGACTGGAGAACAAGCCCTATGAGGAGCGGCTTCAAAAGCTGGGCATGTTTAGCCTGCAGAAGAGAAGGCTGAGAGGAGACATGATAGCCATGTATAAATATGTGAGGGGAACTCATAGGGAAATATATGAGGGAAAGTCATAGGGAGGAGGGAGCAAGCTTGTTTTCTGATGCCCTGGAGATCAGGACGTGAAACAATGGCTTCCAACAACAGGAAAAAAGATTCCACCTGAACATTAGGAAGAACTTCCTAACTGTGAGAGCTGTTCAGAAATGGAACTCTCTGCCCTGGAGTATGGTGCAGAGACTTTTGAGCAGAGGCCGGATGGCCATCTGTTGGGGGTGCTTTGAATGTGATTTCCTGCTTCTTGGCATGGGGTTGGACTGGAAGCCCACGAGGTCTCTTCCAACTCTATGGTTCTATGATTCTATGACCATGCTAAGCTTTCAAGATAAGGCAAAACCTGGTATGTTTGGAGGATTTAGACTTTGTCTCCACATTTTATTCCAAACAGCCACAGATTGGTTATCACTGGTCTCAGAAGTAGCAAGTAGGAAGGGAAATATATGTTGTTGTTGTTGATGATGATGTTGTTTTGTTGTTGTTGTTGTTGTGTGCCTTTATGATATTTCTGCCTTAGGGAGACTCAAAGGTGAAGCTGTCACAGGTTTTACTTCGCAAGGTTTATTCAGAGGGGGTTTGCCTCTGCTTTTCTCTAAGACCGAAAGAATGTGACTTGCCCAAGCTCAGCCAGCGGGTTTCCATATCTGAGCAGGAATTGAAACCTTGGTCTTGCAGAGTTGTAGTCCAACACCCAAACCCAATCACCATGCTGGCTTCTCATGTGAAATATATCTCAAAATGATTTAAGGGCCCTGTTGGTTCATGCCAAAATCAGAAAGACATGCGAGAAATAAGCTTATCTCAGGATATATCGACACTGTAAAATTAATGCAGTTTGACACCACTTTAACTGGTATGACTAAAAGTTATGGAATCAAGGGATTTCTAGTTCCATAAGGTCTTTAGCCTTCTCTGCCAAAGACTGCTGGTGCCTCACCAAACTACAAATCCCAGGATTCCATAGCACTGAGAAATGGCAGTGAAAGTGGTGTCAAACTGCATTAATTCTACAGTATAGATGCATTCCCAAGTATGGAGTATTGAGAATGAGAAAGTCATTGTTTCCAAATTTGCATTTGACTGGAAAATGAAGTATTTTTTTGAAATACACTTTCTTAGTTTCCCCATAGGCCATTCTCACTGGAAAATTCCATGAGGTTTAAACCAAAATACCTTAGCTTTTCATGTTCTGATAAAAATATGATTTACATTATGTATATGATAGATGTCACATAATTACAAGACTAGCAAATAGCTTGTGTTACCCATTCAGATTCCACAAGGTAACCCAGACAAAATCGGTTTAGCAAAGCTAATCCAGTGAACTGTCAGGGTTCCCTTTCTCCCCACAGTCCTTTCCATTAGAAACACATACAAGTTTAGGAATCTATATTAGAAATCTTTAGCACTTAACCACTGACACCTCTGAAAATGCCCGAAGGAGAAATTAGTGACACATAAAAACAAATTAGGCTTGTAGTCCCAGCGAAAGGGATGATTTAATAGAAGGTTAAATGCTTACCATGGATTTTCTGGGATTCTGGGTCATCTACACTGATTGCAATGATCTTCCAATCAGTCTCACCTTCATCAATGAGGCCTAGAATGCCAAGGACCTTCACCTGAACAACCTCACCAATTGCACGAACCTGAAAGCACAGAAAATTTCTGAATGAGAAAACATACATGGAAAGACCATATTCTTCCCAATGCTAACAAAAGCCGTATGATGCAGCAATTATAGAGTTTTTGACTGAGACATGGGAAAACCTATTTCCAGTCCTCACTGAGCCATGGTCTTTAGCCAGGCAAATTTTCTCAATCCTCACAGGACTGTTGAGGATAAATGTGAAAAAGAGAGCCATGTACACCACCATCAGGTCATTGGAGAAAAGGAGGATATATCATATATACTCAAGTATAATCTGATCTGAATATAAGCCATGGCGTCTTATTTTACCACAAAAAAACTGGGAAAATTTATTGACTTGAGTAGAAGCTTAGGGTGGGATATGCAGCGGCTGCTGGTAAATTTCAAAATAAAAATAGATACCCATAAAATTACATTAGTAGGTTAAATGTTTCTGAATATTTGCCGTATTTCAAAGTAAAACAGTAAACTAGCTCTGTAAGTGGAAAAGTAGGGTCAACAAAAACAGCATGGTTATCAACCATAACTTTATAATAAGAAGAGTAAGAAGAATAAAAATAATAGAACTTAATTTGTATCCCACCCTATCTCCCAATGGGGACTCAACCGGCTTCGAACATAATAATAGGCAAACATTCAATGCCTATATAAACAATGCAAAGCTAGATAAAGATCTATACTTATCTATATTAATAATTTCACCTATGCATTTCCACTGAAACATTTGCAAATCCTCTACCTATATATGTGCATTTTCCTCCTGCAATATTTGCAAGCCCTATATAACTACATTCATATATATCTATCGAGACATCTCTCTATATATATAGATAATTCTTTCTATATAGGATTTGTAGAGACTTGCAAACATGTGAGGGGGAAATTCATATAGAAATAATCTATACATATAGATACAGATATACAGGTACATGGAAATCTCTAGATATTTATATGTATATAGGATTTGTAAAGACATGCAAACATATGAGTGGAAAACTTCCAATGGAACAAAAATGCACATATAAAGTTACTACATTTAGATACAGCAAAAAAGTCGGGAAATTGGATGGGTTTGAAGGAGAGTCATACCAACAAGGAGGACATGTAATATATCTCCCTCCTTCTCCCTCTTTTGACTGGAAAACAAAACACACTGAAAGAAATATATCATATATTGCAAGCAATCCCAGACTCCACTGCCTAGCCTTGACCTTGACCCCATTATAAGCCAAGGACTCAGCTTATCTTCGAGTATATATGGTAAGTATAATAAAAGAATAAGAATAATGGCAGCTGCTTCCCAATTAAATGGGTTCTTCAGCCTGCTTTCCCCCTTGTACAGTTTCCAACATCTCAGGAGTAAAGACAAAAGCTAGCAAATAGCTAATCAACCAGTAGCTCTTGTTTATATGGTTTCTTTCTATTCACTACTTTATAATAAAAAAGCAACACTTTGGAAAAAATATACGTCTAGTACAGTGGTTCCCAACCTTTTTTTTTTTTTAACCAGGGACCACTAGATCAGGGACCACTCTCCAACATTAGTGCCAAAAGGGTTACGAATCAGTTTTCGGTCAACTTTAGATTCAGTTTGGTTATTTGGGGTGCCGATTCAGAAAATTGCATTGGACAGACCACATCAGCTCTAGTTTCTGATACAGAACACATGCCATGCAGTAATCACCATCTGCTTGCCCACAGAAAACCATATGTAATAATCTAGAGCTGATATGGTAGCAGTAATCTTTTGTGGATAATCAGCCTCTCCCCTCTCAACATTCCCATTGTCTCAGCACTATAAAAGAGTTTTGTGAGACTAGTCACTGTCGTTGCCGCATGGTTTTGAGGCAATGGTGTAGTAATGGTGAGGCCACGGACCATATTTTCATTCTTGCAGACCACTGGTAGTTCACGGACCACAGGTTGGGAACCACTGGTCTAATATAAGCTTGGCAATAATTAAGACATACCTGAGAACCAATTTCACAGACATCAATGGGGTCGTTATCGCCACAGCATTTAGTAGCGTCATCTTTAAGGCTAGGATCTTCCCAGGTCTGGTTCAGCAAAAGAAAAAAACCATAAAATTTATGATAATTGTTTGCCTTCTTATTAACCTGAACTGGTTACTGAAATTCCGAGGAACAAGATCCAGGTCTCTTGTATGAGATGGAATTGTTAGTGACTCTAATCTTTCCTACTACACTGGACTAGAGTTATTAGTGATTATACATTTTAATAGTAATATTTTTTTTTTATTGTTACCTGCCTCTCAAGGTACACTAGTACCACCATGGCAAAGTACAGGGATGGGCAGAAAATGTGTAGGCAGGATTTCTGTTTCTTTACAGGAAGTTTAGGTAATATTTATGTACACTTCGCTATACTCTTCACTACAGATTATTAGGTTTGTGCATTTCAGGAGGATCGCTATCTGTTTCTGCTTGCCGGATACTGGAAGTCCCTGTATCTGTTTTTGTCTGACTTCCAAAAAAAACCAGGGATGCTGCTGAATGGGTGTTTTTGGTATGTAGCTGATAACTGTGGCTAGATCCAGCCCATTGGCAGCAATGGGGAACTTACGAGGCTCCTCTTTCTCCTTTTATACCAAAGGATCTCTTATTCTTCCACTTTGTGCCCAAACTCAAGACTTTTTGAGCTTGGTATAGTACAAAACAGGCTGCATGTGTGCCGCAATTTCCAGAAACAAGTTTTAAACACTGATTCATCTAAAGCTTTATGCTCAATAATCTAATGCTCCCCAGTCCCACCACACCACTCTATCAAGCATTAGTGCTTTCCTTGGAACCGCTTTGCATTCATAAAATACACAAGATTGATGAGAGGACTTTGCTGAGGAGACAGAACAACTTTCCACATTCTGAAAGGCAAAAACAAAAGCAATGTTACCTGTGGGAAGGCCCCGTAATTCCAAATATAGCCCTTGTGGGGAAAGATATTTGCCACGTATCGCAGCTTGCCTTTCTTTACATCCTGCTTAATGGGATTCAATGGCTCCTTCGTGGCAATCTTAGCATGTTGTGAAACAAAAAGCGGGGAGGAGGAGAAAGAAGATTACTGCAAAATAGCTCAACTAAAGATTCCCATGACAGACAACAACTAAACACAGCATCACGCTTACATTTAGATTTGTAGTTTGCCTCTTCTCCAAAGGTGGAGGAAAAGGGGGAGGGAGGGGACAGGAAATAATCAAAGTATTTAGGACATATGTAAATATCATATATACTCAAGTATAAGTCGACCCAAATATAAGTCAAGGGACCTAATTTTACCACAAAAAACTGGGAAAATGTATTGACTCGAGTATAAGACGAGGGTGGGCAATGCAGCAGCTACTGTTAAATTTCAAAATAAAAATAGATACCAATAAACTCACATTAATTGATGCTGAGTATGCATGCCCAGCATCAATCAAACATCTCACCACACTAAAACAGTGTATGTGGCTCTTAATGAGACATGCCACATTATCACGGGGTATCTGCGTCCTACACCACTGGAGAAATTACACTGTTTAGCTGGTATTGCACCACCTGACATCCGCCGCGAAGTAGCAGCCAATAGTGAAAGGACCAAGGCAGAGACATCTCCAGCTCATCCCTTCTTTGGGTATCAGTTAGCATGTCAACGACTTAAATCAAGAAATAGTTTTCTAAGATCTACAGAGACACTCGCTGGAACACCTCAGCAAGTGAGTCCAACTGCTGAACAGACTGCGCTCTGGCATCACGAGATGCAGAGCCAACCTTAAGAAATGGGGCTACAAAGTGGAGTCCACAACATGCGAGTGTGGAGAAGAGCAAACCACGGACCACCTGCTGCAATGCAACCTGAGCCCTGCCACATGCACCATGGATGACCTTCTTGCAGCAACACCAGAGGCACTCCAAGTGGCCACATACTGGTCAAATGACATTTAATCAACTACCAAGTTTGCAAACTTTGTGGTTTTTTAAAATCTGTTTGTTTGTTTTGATCTGTTAGAAATGTAATACAATGGTCTGGTTGCCCCTGACACGATAAATAAATTGATGCTTCAGTAGGTTAAATGTTTTTTTAATATTTACATTAAACTGTCATTTAAGATAAGACTGTCCAACAATGATTAAACCATTATTCTAACCTTCTTCGATGTAAATGTGCTTACATATCCTTCCAATAATAGAGTAAAATAATAAATGGAATAAAAATAATAACAGAGTAAAATAATGTAAATGTAATAATCATAATAAAATAATAAACATAATAATACTAATAGAGTAAAATAATAAAAGTAATAATAAAAATAGAGTAACATAATAAATGTAATAAAAATATTAACAGCGTAAAATAATGTAAATGTAATAAGAATAAATAGAGTAAAATAATACATGTAAAATAATAAGAATAACAGAGTACAATGATAGATAACTTTTACTCGAGTATAAGCTGGGGGGGGGGGCTTTTTCAGCCTAAAAAGGGGCTGAAACACTCGACTTATATTTGATTATATGTGGTAATTTAAAAACCTAATGCATCTGGAAAAATTTTCATTTATTGAAATATTAGTTTGCTACCCCACCTGGATATCTCAGGGAGGATACACACAATAAAATAGTTCAAATGATTATAAAACAGTTCAGAGTAATTCAGCAAACTAAAGCAATGGATAGAGATCCAAAACCAAATTATTTATTTATTTATTTATTTACTTTGCTTATATACCGCTGTATCTCAAGCCCGAAGGCGACTCACAGCGGTTCACAAACAGTAAAAACAGTAGAAACAGCAGTGGTTCCATGCAACATATAACAATTGACTTAACACATTGTCCATAAATTACCAATAAGCAATTACAATGCACAATTATTACAAAAAACAACCGTACCCAATCTTCTCATCATCCAAGCGTAGTCCAGGTTCGTTGTCCATTGTTCCATTCCTATGTTCCATTACCAGATTGCACTAAATTACTCAAACGCCTGCACAAACATCCAGGTCTTCACCTTTTTGCGGAATACCATTAGAGATGGTGCTAGTCTAATGTCCGTAGGAAGGGCGTTCCACAGCCGAGGAGCCACCACCGAGAAGGCCCTATCTCTTGTCCCCGCCAGCCGTGCTTGAGAAGCAGGCGGGATCGAGAGCAGAGCCTCCCCGGAAGATCTCAAAGTCCTGGTGGGTTCATAGGCAGAGATGCGGTTGGATAGGTAGCTTGGGTCGGAACCATTTAGGGCTTT